TGACTGAAAATTGCAAATTTCGCAGGGCTATATTATCCGCATTTTACAACATTTCGCAACGAAACTTTGGAATATTACTAATTTTGTGATGCTCTTTCAAGCTGTGATGAAATTTTTGTCTAGACTTGTCTAGATCAAAATTTTAATTGTAAGGGGAAAGGTCCATTGAATGACGAATATCAAGATTTTGTTCGCATCTCACTCGATTGAATAATAGTTGAAGGTTTTCTGGCCGGAAATTACATCAAGTGTAAATTTTATATACATGATGGCACCTCCATTGGCTGAGAAGAAGAAGAAGAACTTATAATGATGTCTGTAGTAGTACATTACTATCCACCTGGTAAACAGCATCAAGGAACATAAGGAAGGTCGGTGCTTGTCCTTTGTATCGCATATTTGACGTTCCTAGTTTAATACAACGTTCTCTGAACGAATGTCCTGCAGCAAGCCACTCTCGTGCTATCAAACTTTCGAATCTAAAATGAGAATAAAAGATAAGCGACTGTACCCGTGAACAACCAGTATGAGATCATTAGGGCCATTTATACGAGCGAGAATAAGTCGCGGCCTAAATAAGCCGCGGCTTAAATAAGTCGCGAACTACTCGTATAAACAGTCAATTTGCAACAAGCCGCGGCTAAAATAAGCCCAGGCTTGAAAGCTAGGCCTAAATAAGCCGCGGCTTATATAAGTCGCGAACGATTCGTATAAACAGTCAATTTGCAATAAGCCGCGGCTAAAATAAGCCCAGGCTTGAAAGCTAGGCCTAAATAAGCCGCGGCTTATATAAGTCGCGAACGATTCGTATAAACAGTCAATTTGCAATAAGCCGCGGCTAAAATAAGCCCAGGCTTGAAAGCTAGGCCTAAATAAGCCGCGGCTTATATAAGTCGCGAACGATTCGTATAAACAGTCAATTTGCAATAAGCCGCGGCTAAAATAAGCCCAGGCTTGAAAGCTAGGCCTAAATAAGCCGCGGCTTATATAAGTCGCGAACGATTCGTATAAACAGTCAATTTGCAATAAGCCGCGGCTAAAATAAGCCCAGGCTTGAAAGCTAGGCCTAAATAAGCCGCGGCTTATATAAGTCGCGAACGATTCGTATAAACAGTCAATTTGCAATAAGCCGCGGCTAAAATAAGCCCAGGCTTGAAAGCTAGGCCTAAATAAGCCGCGGCTTATATAAGTCGCGAACGATTCGTATAAACAGTCAATTTGCAATAAGCCGCGGCTAAAATAAGCCCAGAGTTGAAAGCTAGGCCTAAATAAGCCGCAGTTTGTTGTACATTGACTGTTTATACGAGTTGTTCGCGACTTATTTAAGCCGCGGCTTATTTATAGGCTCAATAAACAATAAACTAAAGTTCTGCAAAGGTCGTAGGTTCGATTCCCACCGTGGCCAGGCATATTTTTTCAAGCTTGCCCGGTGTGGATATACACTCAGAGTAACATCACAAGCATCATATTCACCTAAGTACATTGCACAGGCCTTAAAATATCTTTTACAGAACCGTCTGACAAAATGTCCGATGCCGTTGAGTTTGGGTCGGACATATGTCCGATGACCTTTGACTCGGAAATAAGTCTGAATGACACAAATAAATATCAGCACATTCTGAACGGTAAAAGTGGTGAAGATATTAAATAATTTGTTTCTTTCATACTTATTCCCAAGCCAAAATTAACTTGCTTTCCAGAATAGCAGTATATTAAACAACTTAAGCCCGTTTTCCACTTCACCATTTCGCTCGCCGCCCCGCGCTCGACTATGTTAAAACAACATTTCCAGTTCACCTTTTACACAATAGTACTCTGATTTTCCATTTAACATACAAGCCTTTTGTCTTGGGCTAGGGTACATTTTTATTTACGTTGGACAAAGCTACAGTTTGGTCGGACACCAATTCACTCGGGTCGGACAAACAATAAACCTCAGTTTCACTTAGGTCGGACAGAATGTCCGGTGGTTTCCTCTCTACGTCGGACAATTTCACGAATGGGTCGGACAATGTCCGTGACCGACCGATATTTTAAGGCCTGTTGCACTAACACAGAAAAAAATCAAATTAAAGTAACATCACAAAAGTATCTTACCCTAAAACTGTACGGCACTGTGGATCCAACAGAACCTGTGCAAATGAACTGACTATCAATGTCGTATCTTTACCGCTGCCACCATGCACCAGAACTGTCGCACCTAGAAACAGAAAGCAGGATTAGATAAGCCAGAGCTGGTAGGAGGGGTGCTCATTAAATTCAGACTCCCCTATACCCCGGCCCTTTACGGAAAGTGTGTACCCCCCGCCCCTTGTAAATCTGCCCCTGATGAGTTTCCGTTTTATCACGTTTTATTTGAATATATAGTGCCACGCAAACTTCGAGTAATGCTTGAATAATCAAAATGAACCAACCTTTTTGAATGTTTGCAGCCACCACATTACCACCATTTATAATAAGTTGCAACTGTCTTAGCCAACCACTGGACTCCAGCCTCGATAACCATGTGCTTGTGGACGACTCGCTGTCTATACATGCTAAAATAGACATCATTCCTCTTTGATAAATTCTGTTTACACCGAAATTGGAGATGAAGATGATGAAGTTGGAGATGAAGATGGTGAAGTTGGAGATGAAGATGGTGAAGTTGGAGATGAAGATGGTGAAGTTGGAGATGAGAAGATGAAGTTGGAGAGGATTCAGATGAAGAAGTTGAAGATAATGAAGTTGAAAATGGTGAAGTTGGAGATCAAAATGGTGAAGTTGGAGATAATTCAGAGGAAGATAATGAAGTTGAATATGGTGAAGTTGGAGATCAAAATGGTGAAGTTGGGGATGATGAAGATGGTGAAGTTGGAGATCAAGACGATGAAGTTGGAGATCAAAATTCAAATCTAAACCACACTATATATTAAATCTTCACCTTCGACATATTTACGAAACATCTCTGTAAATTCCTTGTGTCTTGCCAGATTGCCATACGTTTTCTTCCATTGAGAGTAATTTGAATCTGGTTCTACCCCAAAGCCTACATGGAGAAAATATGTTACCATTCAGTGTATAAATAAATGTTCTAGGCCTGTCCTGGTTTCTTAGGACAAAATCAGCATTTCAATAAAAACATAAAGTATGTACGCCATTGAATTTTTAGTTTTTATCGAAGTTTCCTGGTCTAATTTTTTTGGTTTTTCTCAGCTCTCATGTGGAATTGCCCATAGCAGTTTGGATCATGAAAAATGTTTTGCATGCCCAGCTCATTTAAGAGATGAAGTCATACCTTTACTTCTGCTGTTGTAAACTGAGGTCGTGTTTCTTGTATCAAATATTAAACCTTTACTGTCAGAACTCAAGGTCTCATTCAATAATTTCTCATCTTCCTTGCATCTCTTCGTTGTAATACCTGACGCAGGTTGAGAACTTCGTAATAAACAACTCTGGGGAAATAAGTGAAGATACGTCAAGTATTGGCAAAGTGGTGTTGCGTCACTGATCTTTTGAAAAAATTAACAAATCATATGCTCCTTCCTGGACCTCTAGACAGAGCAGTTCAGAACTAATAGAGCTATCCAGCGTTAATAAAGTTAGTTTAGTTTAGGTTTTCTCCTGTAGTAAAACCGGATCAATATGGGATGATCCTTACTGGACCTCTAGGAAGAAGATTTTAGAACTGAAAGAGCTATCCAGTATAAATAAAGTTAGTTTAGTTTAGGATTCCTCCTGTAGAAACATTGGATCAATAAGAGATGATCCTTCCTGGACCTCTAGGGAGAACATTTAAGAACTGATAAAGCTATCCAGTATAAATAAAGTTAGTTTAGTTTAGGATTCCTCCTGTAGGAACACTGGATCAATAAGAGATAATCCTTACTGGACCTTTACGAAGAACAGTTTAGAACTGAAAGAGCTATTCAGAATAAATAAAATTAGTTTAGTTCATGCATCCATTACCTTCTTAGCACTATGAAAATAGCACAAGACTGGAAAACGACCGTGTTGTCGAAATGCTGCGGACTTTTTAAGAACATCGTCAGATATTTTTCTTGGAACAATAACAACTGGAGGGTATGTGTGACAGAGCTGTAAAGACAAAGGGCTGTTTATTGGAAATGGCGGTAGCACAGTAGTTACAGTACGTAATGCAGACGCTTTTCATTCCTGTGACCGGTGTACGGTTTTAAAAATTTTATCTCACAGTTAATTGTTGCGGGGAATACAGGGTTCTCCTTATCAGATGGTAACTGGTAAAATTTAAAGTTTCCACGACCACTGATTGTGGTCACTGAGAAGCCTAGAGTTTGCGTACATTTGTTACGAAATAATGTTAGGAAATGCCACTTCAGAGAAATCAGATTTCAAAATTTTCCGTGGGAATACCCGGACCCCCTAGAGGTTTGTACTATAGGTACGAATTGACGCTTATACCTGTTGAAAAACCTGTTTTACCTGTCCCACTCACAACTATGAAGAACCCTGAGAATAGAAAAATTATTGAAATAAAATAGACAAAAATGTTCTTGAAATTTATCCACACCTTGTAATCATTATTAACACTTGATAGTCTCCAATCTTCAGTCTTCTGAAACATTTTCATAAAATATGTATCTATACTAAACAGATCCCAGCCGTTCTCTGCTTTACATTCCACACTTGTCGCTTGGTAGAAGAACGGATATGTCACACTGAGGGTTTCTGGGAAATAGAAAATAAGATATCAAAATTGTTGCTGTAAAGGTGAATCCTGTCTTAGGCTCACTGGTCAGGAATTGCAAAGAATTTCCAAAGAGGGAAAAGAGATCCCAAAGTGAGAGGGTGTAGATTTCTCAGGTGGCTCAGATTTTGCTGGGAAAGGGTGTTGATTTTCTAGGGGGAGAGTACCAATTTCCCTGGGTGGGTGCTAATTTTTCAGAAGGATTGGGGGGGGGGGAACGAATATTAATTTCCTAGAAGGAGAGAGTACTCATTTTTCAAGAGGGGGAGAGGGTTATTTTACAGGGGGAGTGTGCTAATTGTCTAGGTAGGGGGAAATGGCTATTTCACATAAGGGAAGGTGCTAATTTTCCTGCTGGGGAGAGGGTTATTTTACAGGATGGCGAGGGTGCTCGTTTTCCGGGCAGGGGAGATGGTTATTTTCCAGGACAGGGATGGTCCAAATTTCCCTGGTGGGGTAGAGGGTTCTTTTATGGGAGGGAGAGGATTTTCATTTTCCAAGTGTGGCAGAGGAGAGGGGGGGCATTCATTTTCCAGGTAGGGGAGATGGTTATTTTACAGGAGCAGGTGTGTGCTAATTTTCCCGGTGGGGGAGAGGGCTATTTTACGGGAAAGGTGAGGATATTAAATTTCTAGGTGGGGAGAGGGTTATTTTATACATGGGGAAGGTGTTTAATTTTCCATAACTTACCAACGACAGATAAAGGTTCAACAGATGCCTGAACTTTTTGCGCATCTTCCAGAAATGGAAAAATCAGTTGAAAAAAATCAAAATTCTTGCATGTGATGGTGAGGGTGGCGCCTTGACCAGAAACCTTGCGATCCACGCTCTCAACGTTGTCATGTAACAGCTAGAGTGTAGAGAAGGCATAATTGAACAAACACGAAACTCGACTACAATTAAGACTTGTAGCAGTTTTCCCAAAAGAGATCACAGTGCATTCTAGGATCGTTTGGAGGGACAAAATATATGGTGACAGGCATCAAATATGTGAAAGAGTAGAATTATCTACTATCAAATATCAACAAGTTTTTTAGATGACCAAAAATGAAATATCTCCTTTTTACATTAAACTTTTAATTTAAATGTGTGCTGCCATATTTCTTGTCCCTCCAACATGGGATTTGAGCGACTGGACCCAGGGCTTTGGGAATTAAATGGCTAATTACAGTCGATTTCACGAAACTTTGACCACAAATGTTCTGAGTTTGTTGCGAAGTTCATATTGGAATTCACAAGCCTTTGAGGCTGATGTAGTAAAGATATGGGGAAAAGAATCAAATCTGAAAAGAAGGGGGGGAAGAATCAAAGTTCGTTGAAGAATATACACCCCTGAAGTTTCGTGAAATCGACTGTAAATGCAGGGGAAAATTAAGAAAAATCTGGGGACATTTACCACATGTGTTAAATTCAAGTTACTTCTGGTCATAAATTAATATAATCTTTTGTTTCAAACCCTTAATTAATGCTGGTTCAGCGAGGCATTTTTAAAATATGTTAAAATGATCTAAATGATTGAACGAAACACTAGTCAATTAACACTGGTTCTCAAAGTGGAGCCATTTTATATTGGCAGCGTCTGCTTAAATGTTTAGTTTTATACAATATGTCATGCAAATTACACATACTTTGATGTAATTAGTGCATTTTTCTGGGTAGTACTATCGGCAAACTTAATGCTTTTAATATTTGTTCAATTAATAATGATTATTAACAATTTAATCAATGGTCCATGACTGCCTCTGTTGTGGTTGGAATTTGTCTGTGAATATTAATTATATGGATATTATTATTCTATGCATACAGACAAGAATTGCTAGTACTTTGTCCCTAAATCGATAATAAAAAATCAGACACCGTCAGTCGATGAGGAATATCGTTTAAAATAATTGTGTCAAATTTCATGACGATCGGACTCGAAGAGGGCCATTCCATTTAATATCCACACCCCTGTTGACTAGATTTTCCGAAGGGGGTCTGAAATTCTGAATTTCTGAGGGGTGGCCAAGTTGAAATTTCCGAGGGGGTTGTGAAAGGAAAATTTCTGAAGGGGTCAACATTTTTTTGTAATTTTCCGAGGGGGGGAGGAGGTATACCTGATGACGAAAATTTCCGAGTGGGTGGTCAATAAATTCCCAAAAATTTCTGAGGGGGTCTATCATAGTGGAACCATGTCAACAGTTATTTCCGAGGAGCTTGGGAAAAATTGTAAATTTCCGAGGGGTTCTAGAAAAAATAGCGAATTTCCGAGGGGGTCTTCCGGAAAACCGTTTCTGAAGGGGTCTAAGATCAGAAACCTCATCAACAGGGGGGTGTGGATATTAAATGGAATGGCCCGTCTGCATCGCCCCCTAACAACAACAACAACAACAACAACAAGTTTAGGGAACCAGTTCCTGGTCCAAAAATGTAGAATTTGTAGATCAAAAAAAATTCTGGGAATTAGGTTCCCAGGACACAACAAGTACTATTATTATTTACAGACAAGCTGAAATAAATATCAATCATTTCTATTTATCACACATCACAATACCTACCATCAGTTCCTCGCTATCTTGCATACGAGATGAAAATAACAAATGATGCCCTGTGATGCACAGTGTCCCAACAACACGAGACAATCCAGGCCTAGCTAGGGTCACTTTATCCACCATAGGGATTTTTATAAACTCTGCAAACTCCATGGTTCAATGGTTTATCGCCGAACGGTTTCGTTTGGATGGAATTCGTATTTAAATCTAAAAGGAAACAGAATTTATGAAATTTCTGGCAGCCATATTGAAATTTTGCAGGTTATGCAAAATTCACGCGTGGAGACCTCGCGAGACCCTCTACTTTCTAAGTCTTAGAAAATATTAAAAATTTGAAAATATTTTTTTACTACGTAATCTATGAAATCTATCAAGTAAAAAGTGTGTTGCATATGATACACCACCTGGGCGTATTTTTAACAAAATCACTATAATATTCGACTTCTCGCGAAAGTTGACATCATTTCTGGAAGATTATTAGCGTGGTAATAAACCTAACAATATGGTGCTTATTTCTTGACCTTCTTTGTGTTTTGTTGATAAGTTATTGAGGAGACTCATTGTAAACAAACTCAGAGTTTGAGAAGTTGTATTTTAACTAAAAATGCCAGATTGCTATCAATTACAAATTTCACAAAACTAAAACGTCTCATGTGAAAATGAATAGATGCAAACGCTGTATTAGTAATAAATCGTCAAAGTTTGTTTTATCTTTATATTTTAAAAAATATTTCGGGGGCTTTTTTTAATAATTTTTAAATATTAAAATTTTTTCCTAGAATTTTACTAATAGTATGCCGGCGATACTTTGGTCAGCAGTATAACCCATGAGCTTCAAAATTCAAGATGGCGTCTCGAAAATCGGCCGCTCAGGCGACCCAACTATATCAACGATTTTTACAAATTTGTGAACAATGGCCTATAGATTCTAGCCGACAAGGCAGAGATCTTGGTTCTCATATCAAAGAGAATTTAGAAACACGGTTTAGAGATCGACAAATTGAGGTTAGGAAATAAAATTTAACATAATTTAAAAGTTAATATTTCGACGAGAGCGGCGGCTGCCGTCGGTTGCATCCTTACGTGGACACTCGCAGATAAAAACATTGTCATTCTCATGTGTAATTTTCATATTTTGCAAGAATGTTTGACAGGCTATAATCTTACTGTTTGGGGCTACTGTTAATCGCTTGTAAGGCCAAAATAATCACCAAATTTGCAATGTCTGCCACTCAATCGAGAATTTCCAATAGCTATATTGAATGTAAAAAATTCAAGCTATATTGAGAAATTTTTAAGGATGAAATTCCGATAATTTGTGCCTTGAGATGTAATCAGATTAGAAGATTATATTAATCGATGATAGATTTGTGATCAATGATCACAGTTTCAATCCGTGGTCATTTATCAATAAAATGTGTTGTGATATTGATGCTAATTATCATTGTACTATAAATATTTTAGGAGAAAGAAGCTTCCAGGATGCTAGACAGCTTAATAAAAATAAGTTCAAATTATTACAGGAATAAGGTATATATCTAGGATGGTTTGCTATTTATAACCACAATTAATAATCATTGTGTATTAGTCCATATATACCTTCCTGGTCATGGCCCCATTTCTCTGTCTAACCCCGACTCTAATTCGATCTAATGATAATCCTTCCACCTACCCAACACAAAGCTCTCAGAAAACAGCCATCTTTAGCAAAAAACATATTTCTATGATTTATAGAGTCTATAGACTAATTGTTCTTGGGCCGGTTGTTCAAAGTTGGATTTATACTGTTAGCCCTGCCTGGGTTAGAATTTAACCTGATATTTTGCTTTGGGTATATCTGCAAAGTCTGTTGATTTCAAAACTTTAAAAAATACTACTTCTGTTATATTCTACAACATTTCTGGAAAAATATCTCCATGTTTATAAATGGCGTTTTGCTGCTAGATTCATAAAATTAATACACATGAGAATTCTCCTTTCAACATAGTTCCTCACCTACATTTTGTATATCTGATATTATTCTACAGTATCCAAGAGTGAGGGAAACAGCATTCACCCAAGAAGCTCAGAAATCTGGTGCATATAACTATGTACTAAGCACAGGTACTGCGCTACAGCCAGGTCCTACAGTGATCACTGCTTCATTACATTCTGTAAAATACAGCAAATCGCTAGTACACACGTAAAAACGCACAAGTTGTTACAGGTCTGCAAACAAATTGTTTCAAATCTGTTTACAAGTTGTGTTCGCACTGCTTGTTCCCAAACAAGTTTGTGTGTAACAAGCTTGATTTTATTCAACAAGGTTGTTGCAAGTTGTTAACAGCTTGTTCCAAACTTGTTGACAACTTGAGTGCGAACACAACTTACTTATTGACGGCTTGTTTGGCAGACTTGCTACAAGATGTGAGATTTGTCTGTTGAACTTAACAACCTTGTAGCAAGTTGTCAACAAGCCGTTGGCAAGTTGTCAACAAGCTGGGAACAAGCAGTACGAACGCATCTTGTTGACAAGTTGTTCGAACAGCATTGCTACAAGTCTGCTGCAGGTTTGTTACAACTTGTACGTTGTTAATACGTGTGTATATTGTGAAAAATAATAAAAGCGAGAGTCTGAATTGCAATTTCAGATCGAGTTTTTACTACCCTATACAGCGCTTGTATATGCGTTTCTGGTCACAAGTATTAAATATATTTGTATTTGTATTTTACTTTTATTTCTTGCAGATTTTCAAAACAAAGTGAGGGAGAAACGGCCAGGATTTTTCGCTCGACTATCTGGCAGAAGTGTAGAGAAAAAATAGATAAGCTGAACTTTTTAGGATTCCTTATCAGATCCAGAAGAGTTCAAACTTTGTACACCAGAGATGGCTGCGTCCGTTAGCCAAGTACAGTACATGGCTGTATAGATTCCCACCAGTAAATGCAAAATAAACTGCATTATCAACCTCGTCCCCAGGGTCTTCTGAAGAAGACCCTGGGGACGAGGTTGCGGCATTATATAATAACAACGTACAGTGAAACACGCAATTTGATTGGTCAATAGCCGTGCAGGATCAGGCTATCCTGCACGAGGAATTAAAATGCCTTCGCGTGATTTCCAAAATGTCATTGTTTCACTGTAGTTATTTTATAAAACAATTACCAAATGGTTTTCCAAGCAGGATAGCGTGATCCATGTACTTGGGATGTTGCTCGACTTTCGGAAAGCGTAAAAATACACTCGCTTGCAACTCGAATATTTTTACGCTTTCCGAAAGTCTCGCGACATTCCTCGTGCATGGATCATGCATTCCTGCACGGAAAACCCATTCGGTATTCCTTTAATAAAAATGCATAAAAATATTTGAGTGTTGTCTACTTGATCTTGTTATGCTTAATATTACTCGGCGGACACAAATTACTATTGATGATAATATTGATGGCTCTTTGTCAGAAACTGCATTGCAAGTTGTAAAAATTGCCTGGTCTGACTATGGTCTTTATAGGTTTCAAATATATACAAGCAAGCTATCATTATGCTACGTCGAGCCATGCATGCATTATCTCATGGACATAATAATATTGGCCTGGACATTTCAAACACGTCAACCCTAAGCCCTTGGCAACTGAAATTTCAATTTTGGCATTTTCCTTTTTGTCGTGTTTGAAGGCGAAGGCAAAAAGTGATTAATAGGAAGGCCTATATTTGCGGAAATAATGCCACTGGAAACTTCAGTCCAGTAGAAACATACATAAGACTCCGCGTATATTAAAGAACCTAACTAGATAAGAACCTGTTAGACTTGAAAATGCACGATATTTAGACCCCCTTTATATACTAGGAACCTTTTTATAGGCTAAAATTTCAAACAGGTTCTTATTTTATTTTTATCACTCTAAGAGTTGAAACTAAAAATTTATAAATCAAAGAAAATAAACTTGTCACAAAGACAAAGTAGTGAAAATGACGCAGACGTCAGAATCCTGGATATGTCATAACATAATGTAAAGCGACATGTCTCGGTATGAACACATCAACAAAAAATAATTGTATCTACACCAACCGAAAGTTAGTCCTTTTTCTTTAGAAAATAAGAACCAGGTTCTTATTTTCTAAAGAAAAAGGACTCATTTTCGGTTGGTGTAGAACCTATTTAAGAATTTGTTTATAGCCTAAGGAACCGTTCATTTCATTCATTATTTATACCCGGGGTTTGTACCGAAGAGAAGCGAAAACCACTGTAAATTTTTTATTTACCCAACCTCAACAATGGTCAAAATAATGTTTACCCAACCCATGTGTTACTGTACTACATAATAATTAAACACACAAGATTATGGTGACAGAAATCAAGTTGCCTAAATAAATAAATTCTAAAAGCACACTCAAACTCACTGAGTGCGCCAAAGCAATCACGTTCCTGCTGATCAACGATAGAGTCACTTCCTCAATCACTGATGGTCTATTTTGGTACAGAATGTATTGTACACATTTTTCTTCATATTTTCCAACGCATGGTAATTTTGGTTTTATTTTATTTTATAACTGTCAAACACTGCAGCCATAAAATTTTTTACCCAGCCCATGAGCTAGTCAAAAACTTGATTACCCAACCCATATCTCTTCGGTACCAACCCCAGCCCAGGTATAAATAATGAACGGTCCCTAATTTCGTGATAAGCACCATTTATATAAGAACCTGTTCAGTAGGCTAACTTGAAAAATCTAGCTTCTTATACGCGGGGTCTTACTGTACATGCAATTTTTCAGTGACAGATTACATCAAGACTGGAGTCTTCCGCCAACGGAGCGCTTGGCGGCTTCGTTTAGTACAAAAATTTAGGTCTTCGTTTCGGGAACGAAACGGGACGCCATTTTGTTTTTGTCCGGAAGTGAATAGTGCAAGGATAATCGGGAGCCGAGCAACCAATTAAATTGCGTGAAAAACCACCTCCCGAGTATTATGCTAATTGCATATATTCATAAAAATATGATAAACATAGCCATATTTCTACAAATTATGTTACTATGATCATGGCGGGATCATGAATGAAATTCATACACATACGCTAGTCATTGCGTCACTAGGCAACATCCCACATAATTCGATATTTTCAAACGAGAACAACTGAATGCCAATATGACTTCCTTAATGGACCTATTCCCTAATGAACGAAATTTTGATCTAGACAAGTCTTGACAAAAATTTTATCACGGCTTGAAAGAGCATCACAAAATTAGTAATATTCCGAAGTTTTGTTGCGAAATGTTGTAAAATGCGGATAATATAGCCCTGCGAAGTTTGCCGTTTTTCAGTCAATTTGTATTACGCATGGGAAATTGATAGCTTTTTTCAGAAAGCGGTATCAATTTCCCGTGCGTAATACAAAATGACTGAAAAACGGAAAACTTCGCAGTGCTATATTATCCGCATTTTACAACATTTTGTGAATTGCTCTTTCAAGGAATCAAGCTGTGGTGAAATGTTTGTCTAGACTTGTCTAGATCAAAATTTTGTTCATTAGGGAATAGGTCCATTTGAAAGCGTGTACAACCGAATTTACAACAACTTAATTAATCGTTATAATTATAAGATATAACATTAAAATACTCATTAATAATTCATAAACCTTGTGGCAAATCATGTCAGCCATAATATGTCACGTGGAGTGACTTTATATCTGACAAAACACATGTGGCATTATATAATTGTTCATCCTAATTAGCATGATTATATAATGGTTCATCCTAATTAGTATTCTTTTGTAGTCGTATTTAAGCTATTCAAAACACTCCTTGTCGTGTTTTATCAGACATAAAACTCTCGGCTGCGCCTCGTGTTTTATGTCTGATAAAACACTCCTACTCGTGTTTTAAATAGTACTTCAAACACTCATTAATAATTCATAAGCTTATTGGCAAATCATGTCAACCGTAATATGTCACGTGCAACGGAGTGGCTTTAAACCTGATAAAACACTCCTATATAAGGGATATAAAGAATACTAATCAGGCAGTATCTATTGTTGTCGTGTTCTCATTAGTATTTTTTATATAAAGAATACTAATAAGGCGGTATATCTATTGAATTTGTAGTCGTGTTTGAGCCGTTTAATAAGCTCGCAGGTCGTGTTTTATTAGGTCTAAAGCCACTCGCGCTGCGCGCTCGTGTCTTTAAACCTAATAAAACACTCCTGCTCGTTTATTAAACAGTACATAAAATAATATTGAAAAGTCGAACTTAGGTTATGTTGAGAAACGTTTTCTTTATATTCAATATCAGAATATGTTATCCTATTTGTTTAAAAAAAAATTAGTTACTTTAAAAATGCCAGTCAATTTTGTTCTACTTTTTCCTTCACTTAAATATCGACTATATTTTCCGGTTTGATTTAAACTGACATGAGGATTAAACGAATCATTATGAGGATTTCACGTTTTGCCAGGTCTGGATAAAAGTGGGATCTTTGTCTCAGCAAGAAGATCGAAGGATGGGAGAATCTTATTACAGTAAGGAATCATTATATCACACTTAATTGTCTGCCATTTGAAATTGTGAAGTGTTGTCGACTGTTCACATTTTGTGTAATGAACGGTCAAATTTTCCATTGTTTTTACGCACTTTTGAGGAATGTTTGAAAAAGGCAAATTCATTTGCTATGAATTCAAAGAATCTTTTAGTAATTACCAACGGCAACGTCATTATAACTCAAGACAACAAAGTAAAATATAAAACCTATAAACCAATATTCACCGACATCAAAGTAGTGTAGCATTAAGCACTTCACAATTGGGACAAATGTTTAGTTGAATTCGTGGAAAGAAAATGTCTGGCCAAACGTTACTCGTCCTGTTTGGTTTGCTATCTTTTAATGGAGGTACGTCTCTCGTTGATAATTAGGTAAAAATGTCGGTCCGAATCTTTTCGTAATAAGCAATATAATAACTGCTCAATTATTAATGAAATATATAGTCTTATAGACACAAATTGTGAAGACACAATATATTACTGATTTGTTACATATTTATCACCTAGACGTAATTTGAGATCTTTTTGAGATAGAAAATTAGTAGTACCGAAATTATACTTGTACAGTACATTTTTATATGTTGGAGATTAATTAAAAAGCGCCTCTTTAGCAAAGTAATTCCTTTATCTGCCTAGAGTTAGGAGAAATTATGGACTTTTCAATATCAGATTTAAAGGTCCAAAATATGGAATTGAGGAAGAAATAAAACTGTCCTCATTTCAACAATTTAAAAGTAAATTAAAATTTCTTTGTTTCTACAAAGCTTGCTCTTCAGATAATATGAAATATATTGTAATATTGGTAGATTTTTCTTTGTTTGTCATCTTGATTGTAATGTGTAAGTTTGTGTAAATATCCATTAACTTTACTGTCGATGCAATAGAAGTGTTGATAAAATATTCCACCAATTCCTTTCCTCAAGTTGATCAATTCATTTGATAGAAAATTGATCAACCTTCTGTTACTTTTAAATGAGCCAATTAGATTTCGTTTCAGAACCGATTGACCAATTAATAGGGAACGCACAGGAAGTAAAAAGAAATTTGAATTCGTATCAAATTGATCAACTTGAGGAAATGAATTCATGCAATATTTTATCAACGCTTCCATTGCATCGACAGTAATTGACCCATACGTTATTGTTCAAGCCATAGAGCGTTTGCACTCATTCCCCAGGGACCAACTCAACAAAAGCCATGGCGGCCATATTGGTGTTCCAGACAAAAGAGTCTGATTAAAATTCTTTTGAATGGACATTTGCATTGTAGACTAAGGCAGCGTTTACACTGTACCGTTTTCGTAGCGTTCTCGTATTGTTCGAGAGAACTAGACTATTGTCTTGCGTTCCCTTGAGGATTAAGAAAAATACGAGAACGCTACGAAAACGGTACAGTGTAAACGCTGCCTAAATTTTGATCTAGACATAAATTTCATCACAGCTTGAAAGAGCATCACAAAATTAGTAATATTCCAAAGTTTCGTTGCGAAATGTTGTAAAATGCGGATAACATAGCCTTGCAAAGTTTGCAATTTTCAGTCATTTTGTATTACGCACGGGAAATTGACAGCCTAATCGGGTGTTGGGGCATCAATTTCCCGTTTGTAATACAAAATGACTGAAAATTGCAAATTTCGTAAGGCTATATTATCCGCATTTTACAACATTTCGCAACGAAACTTTGGCCGGAATATTACTAATTTTGTGATGCTCTTTCAGGCTGTGATGGAATTTTTGTTAGTAGACCAAAAGTCCATTGGAACACCAACATGGCGGCTGTGACGTCATGTGCAATAGCTCCATACTTGCATGGTGAATTAGCTTTTTGGCATTTTTAGCAATAACTACTTCTGAAAGCCAAGTACCCATTTATCAATATTAAATTCGTATTATTAAAATCTATAAATATAATTTCCACAAAATTCTTTGGAAGTGCCATGTTGAAATTTCAGGGTTTTTTTAAATCACGTCCATAACTTGACCACCAGACCTACCATTTGATAATTTGTACAGCTCTTGTATAAACATTATGTTGGAATCTAATTCTTTCATTTCAACACTATAATTGAAGACAAGCTGAGAACCAAAATGAATACTGAAATAAACACCCTTTTGTTAGCCGTATATAGTCCCCTTTGATAGCCGCTTTCATTAGCGTTCTTGCCAGGACTGTTACGCCGGAGAGCAATTTTTACATGAATGAGCATACATATGAAACACAACCATTTCTTTCTTTCATAGCTTCGCTCAAAATAGACATGGTACTTGTCATGGATAAATCTGGAAGCATTGGGTCAAGTAATTTCAACGTGGAGAAACAATTTGTTGAAAGTCTTATTGAATATTTTCCAATATTTCCCACCCAAACTCGTGTGGCCATCGTGACATATTCAACTTTGGTAAAACTGGAGTTTAATTTTAATAAACACATCAATAAAGCGTGTTTACGAAAAGCAGTTCGAGAAATCAAGTACGTGTTTGACGTGACCTATTAGCTTAGTTACTTTACCATATATACAAGGTAGGCAAGATGTGTTCGCAACAGGTTTGTAGCAAGCTTGTCAACATGTTGTAACAATGCTGTTATTTTATCAAGTTTCTACAAGCTTGTCACTCATAACTTGTTGACAAATTGTTGAATTGCAGGACGATAACAAGTTGTTGGAACAACTTGTAACAAGTCTGTTGAGCTCAATAACCCTGTAGTAAGTTGTCAACAAGTCGTTCACCACTTAATTGTCAACAAGCTGGGAACAAGCAGTGCGAACACATCCAGATGATAAGTTGTTGGAATAGCATTGCTACAAGTCTGTTACAACTTGTGTGTTTTTACGTGCGTATCCTGAACTCTATGTTTTTCAACAGGTACACAGGCGGCATGACGGCAACAGGAGACGCGCTACAATATGTTCGTAACAATCTCATCTTCAACGTAACTGTCGGAGCTAGAAGTGGCGCCAAAAAGGTGGTCGTCGTTCTAGCAGTTGGCAGACCTAACCAAGGGGTCAGTCCAGGAATCCCGGCAGGGCAGTTGAAAAGTGCTGGGGTGATTATATTTGCTCTGGGAATTACAAACAGTATCAACAAGAGTGAACTATCAGCAGTTGCGACATCATCACACCACGTGTTTCACATGGAGAATATTAACACAGTTTTGAATCACGGCACAAAGGCTTTCCAAGAAGGTGAGTTGGTGCCTTATAATACACAGATGGCGGCCATTGACGTCCAATAGCTATGAAGGTCGAAAACAGTTTTTATACCCAGCATTTTCCCAGCTAACGGACCTTATCGCGAATCAACTTTTCAGTCCATTAAATGATAATATTAGTCTTTAAATAAATCCATATATAAAAAAATAGAATCTTTAAAAAATAGATACGAAATTTTGGCACACTCCTTGCCAAGATGGCAGAAATTGAAGAGTTATAGGACGTCAGAGGATTAAAGTTTCCGGTGATTGGTAGGATAAAAAATGTCCTCTAGAGAGAAATTGGTTATTAGTGGCTTCTATCCGAAATTTGCCAGCGAATAATTAATAATGAGGTCACAGCAAAATGGCCGCCTCAAGGCGTTCTAAAACGCGTTAGAAGAGATGTTAGAAGCCATATCTTTCAAGATACTTAGAAGATCTTTTATTAATAGTAAAACTATTTTAAACACTCTCTTCTCATTACACTAGTTTAAAAAATCTCTTCTCATTATCAATATTCTTGCTTCAAAATCAATTCCCTGAATTCAAAAGGTTTCTCCATCCATAGCCTATCGAAGGGAAGATGGCTGTGAAACTCACCAGAATAATAATATAACTCATTATCTATGTTAGTCAACGTTTATTCATAACTATGGTCCTTCACCGTCATGTGTGTATTGTATTTTTGCCCAACCAACCAACCAATAGCAATTTCCAATTTACCCTTAGCTATATTAATTGTTCGGAATCACGGATAGGTAACTTTCCTAAAACATTGCCTATTGCTTAGTTGGGCAAAAATACAATACACACGTGACGGTGAAGGACCAGATTTATGAATAAACGTTGATTAACATAGATAATGAGTTATATTGTTATTCTAATGAGTTTCACAGCCATCTTCCCTTCGATAAGCTATGCTCCATCCAGACTTACTTTTAAAATCAGTGGATCAGTCTTTTTGCAAAAGAGGCGAATTATCCTTTCGTTGCCTAAGTTCGTCCAGATTAATCACTCGTCTCTAGTAAAAATCAACACATTACTTATACAAAACATTTTCTTACAGATCTCTTCAAGAAGTGCAACAATGGTCAGACAGTTTACGATGAATGCGGAAGAAAATGCAGATGCGAAAACGGAAAACTTGTCAAATGTTGTCGCCTTCGGAAAGAGTTCACAGACATGACCTACACTGAACGCGTTCGCTACATCAACACCGTTAAGACAGCTTCGACGAACTCAACTTACAAGCCTCGATACGATACCCTTCTGACGCTACACAGAACAATCTTTCTCACCGACATTCACAACGTAAGCTTTTTTCTACCATGGCATCGTTGGTTTATCTTACAATATGAAAATCTTCTGCAGCAAATCGATTGTCGCGTCACCGTTCCTTATTGGGATTGGAGTCTGGTGGCGGCTAACCCTTTCTCTAGTCCTCTGTGGAACGCAAGCAACCACGGTTTTGGTGGAAACGGGGTGCCAGGGGGGAACTGTGTGAATACAGGTCCATTCAGGCAGGGGGTGTGGTCACTTCCATCTAGCGCCGGGGGAGGATGCTTGAGGCGACATTTTGCCGGTACAACCCCAGACGCAATTGCAGTTCAGAATCTGATATCGTTAACTGCCAACGTAACAGATTTTTTTAATTTCGAACAATTGTTGAGAATCCAGTTCCACGATCTTGTTCACTGTACTATCAATGGAACCATGTGCTCTCTCGATTCCGCAACAGCCCCCGAGTTTATTCTACATCATGGTTTCGTCGATAAAATATGGTGGAGTTGGCAAAGTCAGAGCAACGCGCACAAGTTTCATACATATTTCTTGAACCAAACTGAGCTGATGACAAACACATCATATTATTCAAAAGACTTGCTTGATTTGAAGAATCTACCTGGTTGTGTGTGTACCGAGTATGTGAACCCGAAGAATAGTGCCTTTGGACGTATTAACGGTTTGTAATCATTATTAAAGAAGTCATTAATAATTCATGAAGAAAATTCAAAAGAAATGAATGTTTAATCAGTGTTTGTAAATCGGATAAAGATTTTTCCTGATTTACATAAACTTCAGCTTTGATTTTTCTTCACATCCCATAAAGATCAGCTGCTCATGTTTCAACTAGTACTTAAAGATGATGTCCACTCGTGTGCGCATGTGCGATCTTTGTTTACGTTTTGAACTTCTATATTTGTAAAATATGATATACTAACTGAATTTTAAAAACTCATTAATAATTCAGGAGAAAACACAAAGAAAAATCATAAGCGTGTCGTGGTTTTATATGTGATATAAAATCATGTTAATTTACATAAACTTTAGCTTTGATTTTCTCGGTTTAGACAAAGTTTATTTTAAAAATTACTTCGCTAATGTACTCATCAGAAGATGGGTCGTTTTTTAAGCTATTTAAAGCACTCGTAGTCGTGTTTTATCACATATAAAACACTCCGCTACGCGTCGTGTTTTATATGTGATAAAACACTCCTACGCGTGCTTTAAATAGTACATCTAACACTTTTCTGCTTCGCCATGCTTGTAAATGAATATAAACTCTACGTTTCAATTCAAAAAAGTTCGAAAGATGCAAAATTTGGGCAATGTTTATATCTGGGGTCCCCCTTTGTTTTGTGCAGAACTGATGCGCAGAACGGACTGGATCATCTTTAAAAACTCAATACTTCATATTCATGAGGAACAGACAAAGGAATTCGAATTCGTGTATTCGCTACCGTTTATATGTGATAAAAAATCATGTTCATTTACATAAACTTTAGCTTTGATTTTCTCGGGTTAGACAACGTTTATTTTTAAAATTACTTCGCCAATGAACTCTTCTGATGGGTCGTTTTTTAAAGCCATTTTAAACCGGTTTTCCACTAGCGAATTTTCTCGCGCGAAGCGACCTTTTTCCTTTGTCGGTATGACTTGTTACGTCAGCAAGACGTGGCAAAATGGATACCGACAAAGGAACTGACGTCGCTTCTGTAGTCTGTGCTTTATCAGATTTAAAACAGTCGAGCAGCGCTTTCGTGTCTTATATGGTCTTATATCTGATAAAGCACTCCTGCTTGTGTTTTAAATGTAGAGCTTAAGCAAACGAAGTTATTGACAAAATGGACGTCACATATTTTCCATGTCATTGTCGAACTTCAATTTCAATATTTCATTAATTCTCTTTCATTTAGCCATGTCAATTAGTCAACTCAGGATCGTGCCACGATTGCCACTACCACCGCTGTCAAGCAAGGCTGCCAAGCTTTTCCGTACTTCTGCAGCAGAAATCGAACTAGTTTCCAGACTTCGCGCAAAGATCGAACCCCAACGAACTGTACTCAAGAGCGACCTGGATGGCGCTGACACCAAACTTGGTATGAAGTTGAGCGAAATTACACCAGGTGAATACTATAACTGTACGATTTCTAGGCCGTTTCAAAAAACTATCCAGTAAGTACTGAATGAGGAGCTCAAAATTTTGTATTTGGAGATAAATTTTGTATATTTACAACATGTTGGAAATGGCTTGCGAAACGTCTTCATGAGAACATTCGTATTCTTCAACAATTTAAAATAAATGAATGATATTTGATGAGAAAATTAAACTAAACGTTTATGTAAATCAGCATGATTTTGTATCAGATATACAAACTTCTTCACGCTCATGATTTCTTCTGTGTTTTCTTCATGAATTATTACTTTTACTTAATTATTACTCGGTGTAGCTCTCAAAATTGTTTTGTTCTCTAGTTTATACAGTTAGCTACCTTTTTAAATGCATTCGTTGCTTGTGAAACATAAATATAATAGAAAAAAATGTCAATTAAAATACAATTGTCAATGATGCTATGAAAGTGACGCCATATTTACAGCAATATTAGCAGAACTCACTGAACTTCGGACATCATTTTCTGTTTGGCGTATCATCTAAAATCTCTTCATTTTAGCATTATTTTACAGATAAAGGACTAAACATACATTTTAAGTTTGTTTGCCGACTAAAAAACGTATCGAAAACTAAATAGTTTTGAATACAGTCATAACCGCTAATATAACAAAAGGGGGGTTTATTTCAGTAGTCATAAGCAGTACATTACGCTCATCATTATTTTTGAACGCTTGTTTCGTAACATACACAAAAATCTTCTCTTAATCAGTTTCACAATTTTCTTTATGAATTATTGAGCTTTACGAAACTTACAGTGCATTTTTTAAGGATTCTTCAGTGGTGGGGCAAAACTGCCAAAGGGCCCATTTTCCTTGTCCTCCCCCAGCACAGTATGTGATCGCCGAAGGTGTGAACAGAGTACCGCAGACACGAGTTAGCTAGGGGATTGAATGTGGCAGCATGTCCCCCCCCAGGAAATTTTTAAAATTTGGGTCTCTGAAATAGCATTCCCTACATTCTGAGAACACATTTTAAAAAAATCTCCGCTTCCCAAAACAAAGTTTTAATGGTGAAATTTGTAATAAATTGCATGCTAAACATTCAAACATAACATAAGTTTAAGTATGCTCACCAACAAATTTTGTTTCGTAAACTTCTTTTCAATGTTAAACTCATTTACTCAGTACAGGTCCTAGAGACCTGGCTTTGGGGCAATAGGCCATTTTTTTCTTCAGTGGTGGGGCAGAGGAAGGGGTCCAGTGGGGCAAATGCCCCACCAGTCCATGGTATTAAAAAATGCCTTGAAAACTTACCTAAGTTTAATTTTGTCATTCATTATATATTATCATGTCGTTCGTTAGATACATCCCATTGATGCCAAAGGCAGTCGGACAGTTGTCGATGAAAAGCACAAAAACAAATCCGAAGAAATTTCTCAAGTATAAATGCTGCCAAGAACGCCAACGGAATTTGAAATCCATGTGATCATGATATTATTGTAATATGACCTTCCTAATAAAAGACATGTGAAAAAGTTATCAGTTATTGTAAGAGTTAATGGGAGAATTATCGCGGATACACAGAGCTGCCAAGTTTACGGTTTACCCATTCGTGTCCAGGTTTTGGGGCTAAACTCCAGGTCTCACGGTTGGACTTACAAATCTCACGTTATTTCAGGAAAATGATTTGTATATTGTTCAAATTCTGCATCTCTGGATGCAAGGACTACGATTTAGGAGTATTAGGGCTGAACATTTTCTATTCTTTCCTAATTCTTCGCAATCCGATAAGAAATGGTTTCGAGAATGATGGCACATTACTAATGGGCTGAGAAACAAATATGTTCCAAGAGCCTTTCAATCTTTACCTCTTGTCATTTTCTAGTGCACGAAATAGCGTTGTCATTCGGTAGCGTTGTGTCCTTGATTACGAGGGCGTCTAAAGTACATCCTACCACTGAATGCCAAGTTTATACAAGTGTTATCTTCCCAAGGCATGCATACGCTGATACGCACACGTAAGAGCTGTGCTAAGGACCTCTAAAAGTTGTGTTTTTTTTTCAGAATTTAGGTTCCGCTCACTTACAATGGTTCCTGCTTCCCACGTACTGTCTTTCAAAGGAACCCTTTTGCGTCAAGGGCCTCTTGTACACTGTTGAACTTGTTCCAAACTGTAAGATTAAAACTAATAAATTAACTTCATTTATACATGGCCGATAGCTCTATCAGTTCTAAACTGTTCTCCATATAGCTCCAATAAGGGTCATCTCTTATTATTGATCCAGTGTTGCTACAGGAGGAAACCTAAACTAAACTAACTTCATTGATACATGGATATATCTACCAGTTCTAAATTGTTCTTCGTAGAATTCCAGTAAGGGTCATATCATGATATTGATCCAGTAATACTACTGAGGAAACCTAAACTGTATTTATTCTGGATTGCTCTAACATTTCTAGTATAGAGAGTACTTTTCCGAAATATGACCTTTGAAGATTTAAATCTGATTCAAATTTAGAATTTAATTGTTATAACAATGTTAGATTGATAGAAAAAGCATGACTTTGAAGTAGTAGAATCTTATAACGCAGATTGTTTTCTTAATATTCCGGCTCAATTGTCAACGTCTATGTTAGTCTATTTATTTAAATAATTTAATAAAAATGTCACACATTTTGTTAGTCTATTATATATTTGGTGATTGAACAATCTTGTCAACAACGTAATCAAAAAAGCCAACAGACACCTGTTTTTTCTTGTTCATTGCCACGAGCAAAAGTTCACGACTGATATCATTACCGTTTATTGTGCCTGTATCAGACCTGTTCTAGAATATGGGGCACAGCCACAGATATTTCATTATGCCCTGACCGAATATCTCCAGGAGAACTTAGATTTATTAGAACTTAGAGAAATTATCTTTCATTATTATATCAATCAAGTAAGCGGTTGCGGTAAACAAAGACTACTTGAAATATTCTGAATATGTAAAAAGACTACTTGATATGTAAAAAGACCAATGAATGTTGTCTTAGGACCCATCAGATTATTTAATAATTTGTATATGATTTTTGCTTTACTTTTCTTCATTTCTGTTTCAAGTGGCTTCCAGCCCAGTGCTTGCAAAGCAACATAATAGTATCTGTGTCATTGCTCATATATTCATAATAATTCGAGCAGATCTATTTATTTGGAGATTTTGGAGTCTATTTGATTGTGTTTCTCCAAACACATCCCATACTTCACAGCAGTAATGGAACATATGGGCAACAATAGCATTGTACAAGTTGTAGGATTTTTTATCAGCAAATTATTTTAGGCGTCTAAGAGCCGATATTTCGGATAAGGATCATGCACAAGTTACACCATCTCTTTCAGGTGATCTCGTGTTCGTATTTTAGCCAATCAGCGCTCAGAAAGGGTTGTCCGAATAGAAATCCATTTTGATCTATTCAGTCAATTATATCTTTCGTTATTCTCTATGTGAACTATAGCTCTGACAAAAATATGGAATCGAAATAAAGTATATTACAGGAGATATTCAGTTGTTTTAATCATAAAATGGATTTCTATTTGACAACTGGTGCCAGTACTTTTCCGCGTATCAAGATCATCTGGTTACCAGAAACACTGAATATACCATATTACCACTCAAGACACAATCGAGCTTATCAATTGCCTTTTATTAACACTGATCATCGGTTCAAAAAGACGTTCATGCCCGATCATCTATCATGATAGTAAACGCGGACAGTACTTGCATGCTTAAAGTACTGATATGGATGCAAGCCATATAGATATCTTATATACACTAGATAGCGCATCTCTTTTAGTAAAATTGAAGCCAAGAATATTCCAGCGGTTACCCCCATTTGAATAGATGGCGGCCATGTTGGTCGTTCCCACTTGCTAATAAACGCTTAAAAACAACAATAACTTTCATCATTTGAATAGTTTAAAAACGTATTTGGAATAGGGTTAACTTAATGTTTAAGTTCCCTGTTTAAGAAATAGAGAACATACGAATCTTCTCATTTCATGGGAACGACCGGCCTGAGACTGCAATCACAGCTTCAATTGTTGAATTGCAGAATAATTAGATGCACTATCTAGTGTATATAAGATATCTATGATGCAAGCATGCTAATTATTGCTATTTTTTAACTTTCTTAGAATTTCAGTCTCTTGGCTTGGCAGTAGAGTTCTAATAAAATCTATCTATCTATCTATTTACTTAAATAATTTAATAAAAATGTCAATTATAAATTTTATTCTGTTTGCTTCTTCACTTATAAATTGAGTATATACTTCCCGGTTGATTTGAACGGATACAGCACGAGTCATTAACAGTGATGTCTGCTTTGCCATAAATTCAAAGATCTCACATCATTAACCAAGACAACAAGAACTATATGAGATCTAAACCAATATCCATCAGGCATCACCTTTGCCAAACGTTACCTTGGGGATTAGACATTGGGGTATATAAAGCACTTCTCATTTGCCTGATTTGTGACAAAGGATCAGTTGACTTTGCAGAGTCGAGATGGCAGGTCGATATTTGCTCGTGCTGTTTCCTTTGTTATTTGTCACAGTATTTTCCTCTTGCAAAAAACGTTTTAATGCAGGTACGTACTTTTTTGTTAATTAATGACTAATTAAAAATGTGGGTCGGACAACATAATAATCAGTGCCTGCAATTAATTAATTATATATAGACGCAAATCGTGATACTTGTTTGCCAAAGAGTAGATTTGCAGGGCAAATAAATTGAAACTCTTTTTATAGTTAGCTAAAATGTTTTTTTTCCAAGTACTGTGGTTTCTTTCTGTACTAAGACTGGATCAATAAGAAATGACTCTTACTGGAACTCTTGGGAGTTTAGAACTGATAGAACTATCCAGTATAAATAAAGTTAGTTTAGTTTAAGTTTCCACCTGTAGTAACACTGGATCAATAAGAGATGATCCTTATGGACCTCTAGGGAGAACAGTTTAAAACTGATAGAGCTATCCAGTATGAATAAAGCTAGTTTAGTTTAGGTTTCCTCCTGTAGTAACACTGGATCAATAAGAGATGATCCTTATGGACCTCTAGGGAGAACAGTTTAAAACTGATAGAGCTATCCAGTATGAATAAAGCTAGTTTAGTTTAGGTTTCCTCCTGTAGTAACACTGGATCAATAAGAGATGATCCTTACTGGACCTCTAGGAAGAACAGTTTAGAACTGATAGAGCTATCCAGTATGAATAAAGCTAGTTTAGTTTAGGTTTCCTCCTGTAGTAACACTGGATCAATAAGAGATGATCCTTACTGGACCTCTAGGGAGAACAGTTTAAAACTGATAGAGCTATCCAGTATGAATAAAGCTAGTTTAGTTTAGGTTTCCTCCTGTAGTAACACTGAATCAATGCGGAGGGATGGCCCTTACTGGATCTCCGGGTAGAACAGTCCAGAATCGACAGACGAAATATATCAAAAAGAGCGATCCAGAGCGCTAAAACCACATTCAACAGATTGAAATCACATGCATGTGTCGTGCTGGCGGAGAAAAAGGGTGCGCGCGGGAGGCCTGGTTACCGCGGGTTCTCTTCAGGTAATTCTCGTACCCAGAGCCCTTCTTACGCGCGGTGCGACGAGGGGCTCTGGCCAAATCCATATTCCGAACTGGCATCTGATTGGCTAGTTCTAACACCGGACATTGTTTTCTTACCATGTTTTTATGGTATCCGGTTATGGATTTGGCCAGAGCCCCTCGTCGCACCGCGCGTAAGAAGGACTCTGGGTACGAGAATGTCTTCAGGTAAGAAAATAGAATGTCAGTGACAAACAAGAATATCGTGTGTTTGTAGCACATTTCTGGATTTCGAAAATCATTACCGGATATTCATCACTGTAGTCGACAGAAATCAGTCAAGGTCGTATTCAAGCATTTATATTGAAATAGAAGTTTTTTTCTGCATCCTGTATTTGGATTTATATAATTTAAAACCTAAAATCTTTGTGGCGTTCAAAATCACTTTCTTTTGGCATTATTTTACCGCGCAGATAATGCACTAAACATGTATTCTATTTAAGTTAAAAGATATTTCAAACACTGGCATAAAACCTTTATTTATTTTGTTAATCGAGAACTTGAAATACCCCCTGTAACTGTGTAACAATATAATACGTGCATCAACTCTCATCCAAGAATTTAAATTTTAGAATTTTTGCTATTGTCCTGTTGTCGAGCTTGATCTTAGCCTGCGAAGGTCATAGTTAATATAATGGTTAGAATTTTGGCCTTGTTACGTAGTTTCAAGTACTTTAAATTTACTTTCTCTTCAACAGGCGCGCCAAGGATTAACATTAAATATAATTAAATTGTTATACTCTCTCTTATAATCTAATTAGTTCACGGGTGTGACATATATAACCAGGGCATATTTTGTGTGAAATATTTTTATTTTTAAAGTGGATGAGAGCTTTGCTGATTTTAGCCTGTGCACATCCTGTATATTACCAGGGTAATACAGGATGTGCACAGGCTATGCTGATTTGAGCATTCGTTATTTTACAGTTTCCTAATAACATATACCCGTGCATAATTATATGTCGACGCATGCACTCGACTATTCATAAAGGCTATTCATATATTGGTTAAGTTTTTTCTTTCAAAATCAAGAACGAGCCAGAACTTAGCAAAGTGGGAAGGCACTTTAAAATGGTGCTAGGTTACGACAAGCCTCCATTATCCTTGAATGGCCGAGTGAGGTCGCTCGACAGGAAAAAATCAACAACCCACATTTTTTTTTGAAAATGTTTCTAATGCATGTTCAAACTTTAAACTTATATCTGAAACGGAAGGTACTCGATATTATATCTTATAAAGCTGGAACATTTTGAGCCCTGTAGTCAACATAGTTGTCAACTTAGTTAGTGTCACAAAACGTACGTTAGGCCGCTTATTTTCTCAATTTGTCATTTCTATATAGGGGCGCCTAGCTGTCCGAATTTGTTTTGTTTTTTATTTTTCAAAACGATTTAACCCTATATATACAAGCTATTGACCTGAAATTTTCACTTAGGATTGAAGAGTCTACTACTACTAGTTGTGCAAGGAACTATAGGATATTTAAGTTTGTTACAACCAGTGATGAGTTATGGATATTTTGCTCAGTCAATGTAGGGTATTTTTTAACCATTACTGAGGATTCTAGATAATTACGAAGAGAAATTAACATAATCCCGCAACCCTTATTTTTCACACCGGGAAAAGTTAGCTTCAGTGTCAGAGGAATCCACCACTCTCATGCACGCAATTTACCCAAAATACATCAAACTTTTTTTATTAATGTACTAAGTATGCTAATATTTCTCTCGTATGCTGATAGTTTTCGTGAGGATTTGACCTCTCGAGGCCTTGAGAAAAATATCTATCGTGTTTGGTATTTTTCACCTCGCGAAAAAAACATCTCAACGTCTGCGGATGTTGCGAGCTTAGTGCTGAGCCGCTTGAATTAACTATAGTCGGCAATGACTCGGAACCCATGCATAGTTTCTTGACTTCAATGGAGGGGACTTCCTTCCCTCCCCGTCGCCAACATTTCCTGAAAAAAGTTTTAGGTGCCCTTTTCATTCCAAGAGTGCCCCTCGAAACCGGTGCCTCCCCAACTTTTTGATGCCCCCTCTAGTGTTATTTATAATCTCCGATGACCTGGAAACTGCAAAAATGCATAGTCATTTAGTAAACATTAAAATTTTCGCCATATTAGACAGTTGTTTTAGAAGTTTGAATATTTTAGTCAAATATTTATTAAAACGTCTTTGCGGTTAGGGTTAGGGTTAGGGGGTAGAGTAGCGTTAGGATTTGGGTGGGCTAACACCTTTTCCATCTTCCGAAAATGACGTCATGTCAGTTTGATAGATGGTAACAAGTGCTGACCAGCTATAGACCCATTGCACTGACGTCACAAATCCTTAGAATGTCCTCCAGATGCTCCCTAACAATATCTGTTCGGGTACAACAACCACACACAGCGCCGAAAATTAACCATTTTAATACAAAATTATTATAAAGTTTTACAAAATTTGCTTTGCATGTTTACAAAAGTTATATTATGCATAGATCACAAAAGTTATATTATGCATAGATTACAAAAGTTCTATTATGCATAGATTGCTATTAATTTGTGCCGCCAGATGCATCGTCACCGGCGCTGTGACGTCATGTGCAATGGGTCTATTGAGCTGTTCATGGTGTGTCCCGTAACGCACAATAAATCAGATCATTACTTACACTAAAAATTTCTCATACAGATCTCGCCAAGAAGTGCTACTATCGTCGGACAGTTTATGATAATTGCGGAAGAAAATGCAGATGCGAAAATGGGAAACTGGTGAAATGTTGTCGTCTCCGAAAAGAGTTCACAGACTTGACATACACCGAGCGTGTTCGCTACATCAACGCCATTAAGACAGCTTCGACGAACCCGGCTTACAAGCCCAAATACGACACCCTTCTAACACTACACAAAACAATCTTTTTCGACTTCGGTATTCACGAGTTAGACTTTTTCCTACCATGGCATCGCTGGTTCATATTACAATATGAAAATCTTCTACGGCAAATCGATTGTCGGATCACGATTCCTTACTGGGACTGGAGTTTGGTGGGTGCTAATCCCTTCTCGAGTTCGGTCTGGAATACAGGCCCCGGCGGCTTTGGTGGAAACGGAGTACCAGGGGGGAGCTGTGTAAAGACTGGTCCATTCAGACAGAGGGTGTGGTCACTTCCAGCTAGCGCTGGGGGTGGTTGCTTGAGGCGAGACTTTGGTAGGACGGTTCCAGACGCAATTGCAGTTCGGAATCTGATATCGTCAAATTCTAAACCAACAGACTTCTTGAATTTTGAACGAATGTTGCGAATCCAATTTCACGATCTTGTCCATTGCCGTATCGGCGGAATAATGTGCATGACAGATGCCGCGGTGGCTCCAGAGTTTTTCCTCCATCATGGCTTCGTTGACAAGATCTGGTGGGACTGGCAGAAACTAAGCAACGCGCACAAGTTCAATACATACTTCCTCACGCAAACTAAGCTAATGTCATCCACACCATATCGATCCAAAGCTTTTCTCGATTTGAATAACCAACCTGGTTGCGTATGCGCAGAGTATGTGAATCCACGTAATAAGGCCTACGGACGTATTAAAGGTTTGTCTCTAGTTACTAGTTAAGCTAGTTTTCCACTTCAATTGTATATTGTACCGTAGCATAGTGTATTTCTTTGTTTTCTGACCACTAGAGTGGAACTATAATGACTTCGACACAAAAGAAAATGCTACAATACGTTACGATTGAAGTAGAAAACAGTCTTAAGTTTGACAAAAGTATCGGAACCCAGAAATTTTTTTCTCTATATTTTTTCACAGACTTTTTAAGTTTGATTGCTAATTCTAAAAATTAGACTGATTTGACGCGCTAGAAGTTATGTAGTGGAAGACTAGACATTTAATAGCATTCATTCCATTCAACAACATTTGTTTTTTGCTAAAACATGGAATTCAGGCCTGTTTCAAATGCCTCATTCTCTAGTATTGTTTCTAATGCGTTCGGCCAGTGGTGTCAAGTAACGAAGTAAATGTACTTCGTTACTGTACTTGAATACTATTTTTGAGAAGTGAGCATGTAACAAAGTAAACTTTTTCTGGAGTACTTTTACTTGGAACGAAGTCATTTTAAGAAGTAACGTTTTACTTCGTTATTTTCATTTTGTGGCGAAGTATTTCGTTACTTTCTAACTTTTGTTTAATTTTACGAGATTTATTTCTGGTTTATTTTAATTTCGGGTAAGGTAATACGATCTCTATACATGCGTCTGAGATCTGTCGTTTATGACTTACTTATAAGAATTATTTCTTATATCTTCAACGGAGTCTGGAAAGTAGACCATGCCGTGAAATATTTTATATTCGGTGCACGCATATAATGCGTGTGCTGTTTTGTGTCTTTTGTATGTTAATCCATTGGAGAAGTTCCCCTCCCCCTCTACACGCTACAGACAATAGTACTTTTACTTTTACTTTTTACTTCAAGTAGTTTTTAAGGATACTTTGTACTTTTTACTTAAGTACGTTTTGCTTCCAGTACTTTTTACCTTTACTCAAGTCGTTTCATTGTTAATTACTTCTACTTTTACTCGAGTACAAATTCAAAGTAATTTAGGCACCACTGCGTTCGGCACATGAGACTGAAGCGCGACGTTTGAAACAGGAAGTAAAATTCTATTGTTGATAAGAATTTTTCATTGACGTTTTATCTCATTTAGCCATGTCAAGTAGTCAACTTAGGAAAATCCCACGATTACCACTGCCACCGCTGTCAAAGAAGGCTGCCAAGCTGTTCCGTACTTCTCCAGCAGAAATCGAACTAGTTACCAGACTTCGCGCAAAGATCGAACCCAGACGAACTGTGCTCAAGAGCGACCTGGATGGCGCTAACGCCAAACTTGGCATCAAGTTGGACGAAGTTGTACCAGGTGATTATGTTCATGTATTTTCGAAATATTTTATAACTACAGGATGTCTCAAATGTGGTCATTTAGAATTTACCCCTTTGTTGTAAACACCCAAACTTCAATACCTCTGGGAGTCTAGAATGCATTGTAATCGCACGAGTATATTAGAACTCATTCTCGTACCCAGAACCCTTCTTACGCGCGGTGCGACGAGGGGCTCTGGCCAAATCCATAACCGGATACCATAAAAACATGGTAAGAAAACAATGTCCGGTGTTAGAACTAGCCAATCAGATGCCAGTTCGGAATATGGATTTGGCCAGAGCCCCTCGTCGCACCGCGCGTAAGAAGGGCTCTGGGTACGAGAATGATTAAAACTGCATAAATTGCACATGAATATTCTAATTGAAAGTTAAAATGACTTAGAAATTAGTCCTGTCAGTTGACTCAGTTCGATTACAAATGGTTCAACTGATTTCAGAGCAAAGAGTTTTTACTGTTTTACTGCGTTAAATTAATCAGCACATAATCATATTCATATGTTGAACGATTCCATGCAAAAACGTTTAAATAACTTCCCATGCATAAAATTCGATCCAAATGTGTTTACGCGCACCTATGGGTTCAGTTCAATTTTAAAAAGACGAACACTGCCCCCCTCCCCAAAGGGGACCTTTGCCCCCCCCCCTGCTGATAGTCGCAAAACTGTTGCCACGCTGTCGTTTTTCCGTTTCCGGTAATCGTTCCATGTTTCGCGCACCAATATAGTAAACGTTATGTAATGGATATTATAGTGTACTGAAAAGTTAACAGGATACCTCCATATACATATATACACACTCTAACCCTATCGGCCCTAACCTTAAGCCTAACCCTAACCCCTAATCCTAACCTAACCCCTAACCCTAATACCTAACCCCTAACCCTAACTTATATTGGTGCGCGAAGCATGGAACGATAACCCTGTTTCCACTAAAACATAACCGTCACGTTTTTAGCCTGTCGCAACTGTCGTCGCACTGCGAATGTTCAGTTCAAAAACGATCGATCTAGTAAGTTCATTGGCGAAGTAATTTTTAAAAAATACGTTGTGTAAGTCGAGAAAATCAAAGTTAAAGTTTACGTAAATCAAGGGAAATCTCTATCACATATAAAGATACGACACGCTTATGATTTTTCTTTGTGTTTTCCTCATGAATTATTAATGAATTTTTGAAATATTTTCTAACCAATATAATATCAGTGTTCCGCTGACATTTTGAGGTTTGCCGATCCACTTCTCAGAAATACAGTTCGAGTTAAATTTGACAAAGGGGAAATGAAATTTGTTCGAGTGAGCGAAGAGTTCGAGTCAGGCGAGTCAATTCCAGTTAATTAACTGGAGTAAATTACTGTAAAAATTGGATTTAGTTCGAGTTAGCAGGGAGTTCGAGTCAGACCAGTTCGAGTTAACTGGAGTAAATTACTTTCTCAAATTCATTAATAATTCATGAGCAAATAGACTAATCAAACACAAGCATTTTGTCACGTGCATGAGTTTGGAAACCCCAGTAAAGATCTCAATTTTGAATCAGCAATTAAGAAAATATAGATAATAAACGCTTCAGACGAATAGACTATTGTCGATTAAGAAGCTATTTCATAAGCTCGTGGCTCGCGTTCCACCAGGGTTTCCAAACCCATGAGAACAATGGAATTCTCTCGACTGCTCATCAAGCGATATTCGTTGCTCCCTTGAATTTGCAAAACACTCAAGACAATAAAAACCACTCGTTTTTTCGTTGTCTTTCGTGTTTTACAAATTCTCAAGAACAATAAAAATTGCTTGGTAAACAGCCTCGTGCATTAGCCTTTCTCGCGCCGCCATTTTTGGGGTACTGCCTTTTCCAAATCCGAGATTGTACGTAGTGAATAAGGGATTTGTATAACTATAATTGTGAGTATAATCATTATAAGTTAATTTACAGTTAAATATTTGAAAAAATGTTTTCAGATCGCTCAGATTTTTCACGGCGTTTTCAGAAAAGTAGCCCAAAAATGGGGAATTTCACCTTCGTCAGAAAGGCTAATTCCATTGTTCTCGCGTGTTTGGAAACCCTGGTAAAACACTCGCACTCGGTTATGAAATATTACGTAAAAATTGGGTTAAATCCAGGAGAAATTAGATTTAATTCCACTTAGCAGGCTGTTCGAGTCTTCTACTGTATTGTATAAGCTTACTTGAGTTTTATTTCATCATTTTGTTGTTCGTGACGCAGATTCCAAAGACAGCCGAGGAGCTTCTGATGAGGAACAACTGAATGAATCCGAAGAAGAACTTTCTCAAGTATAAATGCTGGCAAGAGCAACAACGGAATTGAAATCCATGTGATGTTATATTTAACAAATATAAAACATTTTCCGTGTTGATATACAGTTATATCAACACGAGTGGAAATTGGGAAATCACACTAATCAGTCAATCACACGCTGAACTGGCTGGCTGTTCCGCCTTCTGGCCAGTAAACTGCATATTTTTGCATTTAAAAACGAGGACACGTTGCACCGCTGAGTGGCCCTTCTGTTACTGATCTTTTTTCTGTGCTCTTAGGCTATCAATTTTGTATGGGTTGCGTGACCAGCTCCGACCAGGGTCTTTCCTCCACAAGAGAGAAGAGCCTGGGAACGAGGTTATGCACCTATTGGCAATATTGGCCCTTTGGCAGAAATTTCCGGCGCAGCGCTGAAGGGCGGAGTGTTTCCGCCCGAAGGGCGAAGTGTTTTCACACAATTTCGAGTTTTCACAATTCCACGAGTGTTGATATAACTATATATCAGTACGGAAAAAATGTTTTATATTTGTTTTATAATATAGCACAAAGAAATATAAAGAAAGAAATTTTCCCACGTTTCCGTGTTGACATTGAGTTATATCAACACGGCTCTTAGCCAATCAGCTTTCAGAACTTACAAATGCTATATTATAATAATTATTGTAATATGTTCTTCTTAATAAAAAGACAGGTGAAAAAGTTATCAGTTAATGCAACAGTTAATCGAATTACGAATCACATATGATCATGGGTATTAGTAGTATATAATGTCATGAAAAGGTATATACTATACTCTGTAGTCTAATTTATCTAATTAATGTGTTACATACTTCTTGCCAAGAGGAGAAATACGAAACAGTTACTGGATTATACGGATATGTATGAAAATAACTTTTAACTAACTTTGTCACAAATAAAATTATTAAATTAATGCGGTGCAGACTGTTCTGCGCATGCGTATATTGAAGTCTCCCGGTCTGGGTACAATATTGGTATGTTATTGCACTTCACTTGGTCGAACTTGAATGCTGGATTTGGTAGTTAAATCTTAAATAGTGTGTATATATATGCTCAATTGGATTATCCACCAAATCCAACATTCAAACTGCACAATATTGGTATCTCCTCTGGGATATTTGTCGCCAGCATATATTCACAAATTTTAGCGTGGCGCCAGGGCCGTCCTCAGGGAATTCTTCAGGGGGGGGGGGTGTAAGGTCATTTCAACCGGCTAGTGCCGAAAAATTTTTTCACGTCGCCAAAAAAATTTCGATCAGTGTACCATTTTAGGGGTCCGAAAATTTTTCCGGACATACAAAAATTTTTCGGAACATCAAAAAAATTTTCCAGACATCACAAATTTTCTCCATTTTTCCAAAATATTTTTCTAAAATTCCGACCCCCATCTTGCCCTTTGCGCGAAAATATTTAACCCAAATAACAGTTCTATCGACTGAATAGCAGTCCTACCGACTGGATAGCAGTCCTGCCGACTGAATATAATTTCTGGGGGGTGTCACCCACCCCCCACACCCCCACACCCGTAGCTCGGGCCTGCGTGGCGCTTAATACAATCTCCTGACCTTGGTAGCTAGATCTTGGCATGAGTTTGCTTACGCTGTTTGCTAATTGATTTAATTTGTCAGCCAATGAACGAAAGCGAGAAATCCTGGCCAAGGTCAGGACAACAGCCTTTGAAATATATTATCACAGCTTAAAGGGTTCAAAAATAGCCAAATATTTTTTCCCGTCAATGTTAGCAACCTTTTCATCTGTCATCATGTTAACCTATGGAAACCTTCACTAAAAGCTGTCACAAGTTGATGAACTATACGAAGTTGAAAATCTGCTTGCTAGTTTTACTCTAAATACAAAACCCATCTCTCAAACAATATCCTATATGCTCTAACAAAGATAAGATTTCTATGGAGAAGATCTTTTTTCTTCAAACAATCAGTGTCTTCTTTTGAAATAACTAAACAGAAATACTTGTTGACTTAATATATAAATACTAGCTAGCTCTCATTATGACGACAACAGCTTATGATTAAGCTTAAAATATGTTTCTGAAAACTAAGGTTTAGGAATCAGTTTTTTGCTAAAAGGGAAAGTACAACAGCGAGTATACAGCAAGTACAAAAAAAACAAATGGAAAGAATACTAAATTATCTTGAACAAAAAAACAGAAGGGAAAATATATGAACTACATAATGTAATCCGAGTTCGAATTTGCAAAATTGGACGGATTATTCTGAAACAGATGAATTCCAGAAGTTGTCAATGATGAGTCGATGACCACAATGTTTTCCGATAGTTAATGTTTCCATGAACGTTGGTTTAGCAATAAGTTTGTGGCTAAATTGGAAAATTAACCGAGTCAAACATGCATTCTATATGGCAAGAGCTACTGATAAGTTAAGAGAAATATCAAATTTACGTGCATACGAAAACATGAGGGCGAAATATGTAGGGCGTGGTGTAATACGAGTGGTTAAAATGGGAGAGTTTAAAGTATTGTGCAAAGGCTCGCAGTAGGATCAGTTGTAGTTGAGCTCCGACAGGAAAGTTGGGAAGTTTAAGATGGAGTCTAAGTTCGTGATTTTCTTGTTGTTTGTCTTTATGGCTGACATGACTTCGGTCGTCAACAGTCAGAGTAAAACTACGGTAAGTTTGTCGTGTTATGATATCTAGGCACTAGGCTTTACGTACGGTACATTTACTGGTAATTCATTGATATTAGACAGCTGTATCAGTTCTCGCTAGAGGACAAGTCTATCAGTCCTTATGGCTCCGGTGTTATACTACAGGAGGAAACCTAAAGTAAACTACGTTATTTATACTGGCCCATACAGGATACCTCGATCACTTCTAAACTGTTGTCCCTTCACGTTTAGAATAAGGACAACCCACCGCCCCATGCAGTGTAAGCTCAGGAATGGATTTACTGCGGGAGTGCAGGGGTGTGGGCAACACACTCAGGATCCGGTTGGATATCAATCCATGTGTTAGCTACTAGACGAGCTACCTAATTAACCAAACTCATTTTATTTATACTCAACGTCCAGTATAAGGACCATCTTGTGTTGCTAATTGTGTTATTATATCCTCAACAAATCTTTGTCATTTTTTATTAGTCTTCTCAGGTGACCTGTGGTTCTGCAGGTATCCCAGGTATCCCTGGAATTCCAGGAAATCCCGAAAGAGATGGTATACCTGGGTCACGTGGTGCTGCGGGAGCGAAAGGGGAGCCTGGGGAGAGAGGAGATGATTACGTAGATTTGGTGAAGTCAAATTGGAAACAATGTGTTTGGAAGAGAAATGATGGCAAAGACACTGGCTTGATACAGGTTTACGAAATTATAGATAATATGTATTTCAGTTCAAATGTAAGATAGAGGACATTACCGGGAATTCAAAGTCCGAGTAAGTTTTCAAAAAGAAGGATGGCAGGCGAGCCTATAAAAGGCGAGTTTTTAAAAAGCGGGCTAAGTTAATGTGCAGGGATTTTGAAGTCCTGGTAAGTCTGAAGTCGAGTATTTGAACTGACTTCCGTCAAACGTTGTAATTTACATAGTTTTATTTAAAATCTGATTTAAAGGTTCTAGTACTTTAGTGTCCTGTAAGACATATCTTCCTTATAGTTTCTACTGTGAATTAATGAGTTTGAGAAGATATTCTTACAATCCTAAACGTAATCCTAATCTAATCCTAACCTTAATCTAATGCTTACATTTAACCTATCCTAACCCTTTGAAGGCTAATGTAACCCCTACACTAATCTTCTCCTAACTCCAATGCAATTTTACGATCCATACCGTAAGCCTAATCTTATCCTAACCCTTTGAGACCTAATCCTTATCATGATAGATAAACCAACTCGTGGTGCCAAGATTTTGGATCTTATACTTACAAACATGCATAAATTTTACGATGTACAACCAGCCATGGTTTTCCCTCCTTTCGG